GGGAATGTGTCTTGGGTACCAGCAGCTTCTGGCAGGGCCACACACCCAAAGCCTGAAAGGAGAAACCCCAATATTCATACTGAGCACAGATAATTAGCTTAAATTTTGACCTCAAAACCTCAGTTGTACGTGCATAGTGTCCGCTCTCCGTACCAGACCTTCATTAGCAAAGTGATTAATAATTCCTGATACCTGCTGACTCTCACCCCATCACCAGCCAAACCGGGAGGACGCCGCAGCCCCTGGGCACGGGATGGGGCTGTGACCAGACCCTCAGTGCTGTGAGGCTGTGGGTTCACCCCTGACAATACTGGAGGAGGCTTCTGCTTCTCTTTGTTGTTGCTCTTTGGCTGGCTTTTTTAAATGTTGTCCTCAGGGTAGCAATTGTGTATCTTAGAAAGGCAGAAATACCTGTGAAAAGGTATTTCCAAAGAAATGAAAGCAGCTCATGGTATGAGCCCAACAGCAAACGGGATTATGGAGTATTTGGAGACCATACATGGAGATCGTTGGTATATGACGTACAGCAAAGAGAGCTGGTGGTTTGATCTGTGGGTGATAGGAAATGCTGCAGCTAATCCTAGGAAAGAAAGAGAATAGCGGCCATCTGTGAATCTATACATTTAGGAGAGAGAGCTATAGTTTCAGGCTGTCACAGAGAGACTTAAACCAGACAGATCAGCTTTGAAAATTCAGCAGCCACAGGCTGTTCAGATGCAAACCCGCTTGTTTCTATGGCAGCGTGTTAGGATCTTATTTCCTTGGATCAGTGGAGGTCTGCAAGAGGATGGGGTTGGAAATAATTCCTCTACCGGGATGATAATCTAGAAATCTGATTGGTTTTGCCTGATTTTCATCATCAGAGCTTCTAATTCTCTGCTGTTTGCCAGCATGGACAGTGCCGTACGCAGCGGCGTTACCCTGCTCTGTAAATTAATCTGCACATAAGATCACAAAGTTCTCACTGCGCTGTGCCACTGCCAGGGGCAGGGTGAGCAGCAGTAACGTGTGATACCTTCTCCCTTTGTTCCTGCTTTTATCTCAGGCACTGGTCAGTGACAGAGAATCCTATTAAATTACTTTATATAAAAGCTTCTGGTATACGCTGATTTGCTGTCGCCCTTTACATAGATTCCTGGGTAATGAACCCAATAATTTTATGATTACTCAATTCTGTTTACAGAGATCACTTAAACCGCTTCTTGTAGAACATCAGCGTGCTGTCTTTCACTTAATGAAAGTGTAAAATAACTGATGTCAGTGAATGGATTGCTTTAGTTAACAGAAAGGTTAAAGATAAATAATTAACAGTGTAACTGACTGTTCCAGAACAGGGCTACAAAGCTCCTGGCTGTAAAAGCACATTAAAAGTTTCTATCACTGAATAGTCTGCAGGTCAGCCATGGGGCAACCAAAGAAACGGATCCATAAGCATCAGACTTTTAACTATGGATTTTAGGGAACTGTATGAGAGAAGCCTCGGGCACTCCCAGATTGCCACTTGGATTTCGTTGTCCTGCCACGGTCTGTGTCTTGCTGCTCCTGGTCGGTGTTGGGATCTCATTCCCACCCAGTGTCCAGAGAGTCATATCCAGAAGGACAAGCAAATAAAGGTTTTTCTACCAGCTTAATAGTTTGTGTAAATGACTGAAGAGATGTGATGTGTGTGTCACTGGCGATGTCTAGTGCATCTCTGACAGATGGAGAGGCTAATTCAATGCCAGCAAAGAGGAGGCAGGAGCCGAGAGGTTCTGTGTGGTGTGGGGCTCGCAGGAGTATGAGCAGCAGAAGTCACTTCAGTCTCAAGGTCCACTCAGACTTATTTATTGTGCTTCCAGGTTAATAAATGTTTATTCTTAATCCTTGTTCAGACATTTCTGTAAGGCACTGCGGTGCATTCAGAGGCTGGGTAAAAAAGTTCCAGTGTATAAATGCACAGTTGGACAGATGGAACGAAGGACGTTGCATCTGTGTAGTTGCCTTAACAACCAAATTTGTAATCACCTCAAAGAATGAAATCAGGTTTGTGTGGCATGACCTATTTTATGTAACACCATCTTGACAGGCATTAATTATGTTCTCATCCGTTAATTCTTTATTGCTCAAATCCTGTATCAGCTTTCTGTTACTCTACCTGATTTATCAGGGATAGATGTCAGCCTAGCTGGTTGAGAGTTACCTGGGTCAACATTCTCTCTTTAAACATTGGCATAATGTTAGCCCTTTTCTTAATGTTTTGAAATTTCCTCAGTATTCCAAGACTTGCTGAAATTAGCTAGCTAATCATGTTGATTTTAAAATATTTATCCCTTATACGATTTTTTTTTTCAAAGATGTACATTGGTTGTTCAACCAGTACATTTTCACATGCAGATGTACTTACTGAAGACTTTGCACTTACTCTGCATCAACAGCTTGTCTTCATCTTCATTATTTCCTGGTCTCCAGCTTCCCATGTGAGTCTTCTACATTTTCTCATTTCTGTGATTATTGTTTTCCTTTTTTTTTTTCATTGCTAGAGTTTTTACTGTTGCATTCTTGTTTTCATTCACTATTAAAGACTTTCAAGCATTGTTATATTTTTTTTTCTTTGCTGTTGATGTTTGCAGACATATCCCTAAATCCTCTTGAAGCAAATTTTTAACCCCTTTTTACCCTAATTGGAATTCCCCCCCCCTCCCCTAACACCCATTTTTCTCAAATCAGAGAAATTAGCACTTTGAAGGAGCAAAGGATATATGCCTTCATATGCTGATCTGCACTCTGCCTGTATTTTTACAGGAATGTTGAGGATGCTTTACACCTGGCTGTGAGGGTCTTACTGTCAGAACCAGTGTATACAAATAGAGCTCCAATTGCCTAAAGCTGTGCTTGTAAATCACTCTGAAATGTTCAGAGAAAAAAATCAGCTGTACCTACTTCAGGTATACACACAAGGGTCACATGCGATATTCTTGCTTTAGGAGTGCCATTTTTTATTATTTTGGGCACTTTTTGTCCTCTCCAGGATTTAGTTTTGTGAATAGTTTCCTTTTCCTTTCAGCCTTGTTGTCTCCTCTGAAATACTCTTAAGATTTTCCAAAAACAAACATTCTTTTCTGTGATTAAAGTTTTAAACAATGAAACCCAAACATATAGTGTGTATGTGTATATATAATGTGTGTGTGTACATACATATACACCTTATCTACATATGGGTGTATGTATGTGTGTACTCATCTAGCCTATGTGTTTAACGGCATTTAAAACATGTCAGAAATATACAGAACTAAATAATGTATTGTAGTAGTTGCAAAATAAGTGTTACACTTCTGTTGCTAAGTGTAGATGGACAGATGTTACTGAGGGTACAATTAATGCTCTGCTCGTGTCCTTAAGCCAGAAAGAGTTATATTTAATTCCTGAGAAGTTATATGGTGGAAATTAACCCATAATAAAAGACTCCATGAAAACAGAAAGTATTTGGCTGGTCTTAACAGCACAAGAACTCTGTCATCTTATCCATAAAAACGCATGGAGAATTAGTCCAGGACACAAAGCTGAAACCACAGGAAAAGGAGAGACAGTATTATTCAGGAATTAGCTAAACAGGAGTTGGGACTGACTGGATGCTCCCCCAACAGCCCAAAGTGACCATATTTACCAACTTCATCATATTTCTCACAGCTATGTAGACCAAGAACCGGCATTTAAAACATGTCAGAAATATACAGAGCTAAATAATATATTGTAGTAGTTTCAAAACAAGTGTTACACTTCTGTTGCTAAGTGTAGATGGACAGATGTTACTGAGGGTACAATTAATGCTCTGCTCGTGTCCTTAAGCCAGAAAGAGTTATATTTAATTCCTGAGAAGTTATATGGTGGAAATTAACCCATAATAAAAGACTCCATGAAAACAGAAAGTATTTGGCTGGTCTTAACAGCACAAGAACTCTGTCATCTTATCCATAAAAACGCATGGAGAATTAGTCCAGGACACAAAGCTGAAACCACAGGAAAAGGAGAGACAGTATTATTCAGGAATTAGCTAAACAGGAGTTGGGACTGACTGGATGCTCCCCCAACAGCCCAAAGTGACCATATTTACCAACTTCATCATATTTCTTATGGCTACGTAGACCAAGAATGTGGTTGACCTGCACTGGACATACATCAGATCGAAGTCCAAGCAGCAGCTGGGGGATTAACAGAGCAGTGCATGAGCACCAAGAGAAGGCTGGCGGAGGCTGACGAAGCCGTGGAGGACAGAGCCTTGTGCTGATTCAGCCCAAGATGAGCTGACTTGACCCATTCTTAATTTTGCTCCTCCCAGGTGTTCCACGAAGCCCTAAAGGTGAGTATTTTACCTCATCTGTGGCCATCTCAGTTTCAGTGGTGATGCAGTATTTTACTTCTCACTGTGCTAGAAGGAGTGGTTTCTTAAGTTTTTCCCTATCAATTAGTATTTCAGAGTGAATTGCTTGTTCCTTCAGTATTTGCTCAGTAGGTTCCAGGCCAGATGATTTCTCAGTGTTATGTTTGAGTAGGTCAGTCAGGCTGTCCCTAACCACGCTGCATGGATTTGGGATTTGTTACTGCATGTGTAGAGCACTGCCTCTCTCAGACGAGGAAACTGAGGAACCAGACTTCATTAAACGTCCACAAAACGTAGGTGTAGAATTAGTTATATGTGATTCAGGATGACTCCACTTCCATGCAAGCCTTCCTGTCATGATGTTGCTGTCCTATGTAGCGATTAAATTAATCAATAATAACTTTTTTTTTTTTTTAAAACAGCGGTTAGTTTAAAAGCCTGAGAAGAAAATGACTGTTAAAATAATTAGATTTCCAGCTCCAGTTTCCAGGTTAGGATATTATGGACTCACTTGTTCCTATCACATTTGCTTTGTGGTTCAGTATGAATTTTCAATAGATGACTATGCGATAAGAAAGCAGCAATTCAGATGCAATTATATAAACAGTAAGATCAGCCTGGAATTAGCCTGGAGAGTATAAAGCGCGCACAGAGCTTGTGCTGGGTCACTGCCTCCCCCAGCTCAAGGCAGAATCAGGTTCCTGTAATAGGGAAGAATTCAGCTGACAAGAGGTTGGTCTTTCCAGACTTGCATTGTTGCAGCTACAGGGTAAACAAGACCGTGATGAAGGGCTTTTGCGAGGGGAAGCGGCGGCTGGAAGAGGCTGGAGGGTGATGTCCGTGTGTTTGTAGACACTGTCATTTACAGTTTGTAGTTTGGAGGAGAATAGAGTAGACCCTGGAATCGTCCCGGAGCTAATCAAAGCTTTTGTTCTCGGGATCCCCCAGGCAGGTCTGAGAAATGAGGTCAGAACAACAGACAGATAAAGTGGGGATTCATTGATTTGAACTCTTTGCTGATGTTCTTTATTGTAATTTGCTTGAATCTATTATTTAATTCTTGGCAGTGTTCCCATTTCATCATGCCTCTAAGCCAACTGGAAAAAATACAGCGATATGCCTGATATGCACAGCTGTTTCTTTTTCTCTCTTGAACATTTTATAACCTGCTTTCTTTAGAAAATTATTTTTAAAGCAGTGAGATTATTTTAGCATCTCTGGCTAACTTTAGAGCTCATGTTCTCTCACGTATGTCACATTTTCAGAACCTTTAGCTCCTGTTATTTTTCTGTGTCAGCATTTTACCACTTATTAGTGAAAAGTTCCATGTAATATGCTTTAGTGGGGAAAAAATTATTTTCTTAAATGTTTTGAATGGCCTGTTTGCACTTCTGTTTAGTGGTTAGTACTATTTAAATTAGTCTGAGATTGGAAAGAACTTGTCAGGCTGTTGCTAAAAAAGTTAAGATTAATTGTGGTCTGTGATTATCATAACTGTTTTTGTCAAATTCTGAGAAAAGGCCTGAAGGTACCTCTAATTATACTTAGGGTTTGCTTTGTTTGTCTGTTTTTCCCCCCCCCCATCTAGCATGACTCCCTTCTTCGCGATGTCTCTCCTCTTCGGCCTGACTTTTGGTCAAACAGCATCACTTTGTGCTCCTTCTGAGTATATAATCCATGTGGAGAAAAGGGAATGTGCCTACTGCCTGGCCATCAACACCACCATCTGCGCTGGGTTTTGCATGACTCGGGTACGAGGGGTTAACTCTGTTTTAGGCAATTATTTTTCTAATGGCCATCACTGCCAAACAAGTGTCTGTTCTCACTGGAAAATTGTGTATAAGTGATCCAATACTAATAGTTTTGGCACAGACAGAAAAATCACACCACCTTCATGATTCCAGGTTAGCTTTTTGTGAAGGTATGGATGAGAAATGCCAAGCCTCTGGAATTGGGGAGTTTGTCCCACCGGTGGCACAGCAGCTGCTGTCACTGCGGGGCCTCTCTAGTCAGTTTGTGGGGTCAGGATGGAACAGGCGAGAAGCAGATTATATTTAGTCATTCTTATTTAATGTAAATGACTTGGGTAACTTCTACTCCAACTGCTGCTCTGACAGCTTGCTGTGGAATCTTGCATGAAGGCACGACAAACTCTACGCTTGAGCTTCACCATTCGACGTTGTGCTTCAAGTTCCACCTTGGTCAGCAGGCAGCTGATAAAGATTGCAAAGTGCTGTTAGCACTCTGAGCCAAGCAGATTAATTAAAACCCTAACCTTGCTCAGGTGAAGGTATCTACGGGGCTAGAGAGCCCCAGTCACACGCAGATTCAAAATTACAGATCTGAACAAAAATACGCTGGAAATATCAGAGCCAGTCTAAGTGTAAAGATGTTTGCTTTCTGCATATTTGAGACAACATCAAACTAAGTCTTGTGACGCTCATATATATGCTTCAGTGAAACAATGCATTTATTTTTTCTTTGTAGGACAGCAATGGCAAGAAGCTGCTACTCAAAAGCGCTCTGTCCCAGAACGTGTGCACGTACAAAGAGATGTTCTATCAAACAGCTCTGATTCCGGGCTGCCCTCATCACACCGTCCCTTATTATTCCTACCCCGTGGCTGTGAGCTGCAAGTGTGGTAAATGCAACACTGATTACAGTGACTGTGTTCACGAGAGGGTTAGGACAAACTACTGCACTAAGCCACAGAAGCTCTGTAACATGTAACCTTCCAACAGAACGTGGTCCCAATGTACCTCTGCTCACGACCAAGTGAAAATAAAAGTGTATTTCATAACAGGTTTGCAAACTAGTATGCACAAAGTTTTATTCAAACATGCAGCACTAGTCACTTCAATTAACTGGAGATTCTGTGACGGGCACAAGAGCAGTCATCATGCAGCACTAGTCACTTCAATTAACTGGATATTCTGTGACAGGCACAAGAGCAGAGTCACAGGACTGCAGGTTTGTGCTTAGAACCCACCTGTAATTTACTTCGGGGAAGAAGGAGAATAATATAAACTTTTGCTCATAAATCCCAAGTTATTTTGTGAAGACATACTCGGAGACATAACATCTGATCTATTTCACAGTTAAAAAAAGGCAATGCATCCTCTTAGTATTGAATATTTTAATTAGATTTTGACATATACTTACAGCCTTCACATTAGCAATGGTATTTTTCCATATATATGTAATACTGCATTTTTTGAGTGTAGTCAACTGGGACTAAGATCATCCCTACAGGTGATCACCACCGCTGCGTTCGTTAGGCATTTCATGTCTGCAGTACTGGAGGAAGCCCTCTCTTTTCCATTGAAGTACGTTGTTTCAAAAACTTCTCTCCCTGTGAGCAATGAAGAACCAGTGAAGCTTCAAGTCCTGCTACTCTGCTCTCCACAAGGGAGTATAATGCCATCAAACTTAAACTCAGAAAAAACTCTTTTTGCCCACGCAGGTCAGCTGGTCCCTTGTGAGCTGGGTGCCCCCTGTGTGCTGGGCACTCACAGGTGAGAAGTGCTGGCCCAGGAATAAGGAAATAAATATAAACGAACAAATGTTTCCTGTCCACCCGAGAATTAGCCCTTTCTCACATAGAGGGTGAAAAGATTATGAAATGGTAATATTATTCTTCTTTTGCAGCAGGAATCATAAAGACAAAATAATCTAGTTTACCATGCTTATTGCATGTAACCTTATTCTCATGCACAGGAGCAAAGTCTGAAAGGTAATTTCAGCCTACTGATAGATTCATTATCCAGCTCTAATCCTACACTGCACTGCATCAGTTACAAGAAAAGAAACATCTTTTCTGACCAACAAGATGAGTTTTTAACCTGATTAGTAGAGTTTACTCAGATTGAAATGCAAAGCATATAATGACAAACACGAAATTGTCAATGTGTGGAAAACTATCAGATTCCTAGTTAATACCACACACTGTGTTGTAAACTCATTACTGCAGGCTTTTATAAAATTCTACTAACTTCCATTTTTATACTAAATTTTGCATTCAGAAAGGCCATTAAGATGAATCAAAGTACTTAAAACAATTTAATCAAGCTGAAAATCAAAATCGTGACAAAACCAGAATTCACAGGATACAAATACGAAAGTTAATTTTCCCAGAAAAATCTTCCTTTCGATTTTGCAGTTTTCATGAATATTCCTGGAATCTGAAACTCTATTCCAAACACCTTCATTTTATTTATCTGCAGCAAGGCCTCCATGAAAGACTAAGGGAGTCTGCTACATGGCCCTCCTTGAGCAGGGGGTTGGACAAGCCGATCCCCAGGGGTTCCTTCCAACCTCAGCCATTCTGGGAAAGAGCAAAAGCTTTGTCCAGGACAACCGCTATAATAAGCTGACAGATTTTTTAAATTCTCCAAAATCACTGTTTAATAGAAAATCCAAAGGATTTTGCAGGAACAGTAGGAGCCCTACTTCTGTACAATATGCCCCTTACACCTACGGTTTAAATAATCCAGTTACGGCTATATATGTACATGACAAATTCTACAACTGCTGGACCAAGAGAGGTTGGTTTCAATTAAGTTACAAAGACCAGATAAAGTCTGGTATTCTCTGGCCCCCAGGACAACTGTAAAAACTGTGTGGTGCCAGCACGCAAGAGCTGCGGACTCTCAATCATAGAATCACAGAATTGTCTAGGTTGGAAGGGACCTTAAAGATCATCTAGTCCAACCATCAACCTAACTCTGACAAAAAAATAAATAAGAAATAAAAAAAAATATAAAATCACTAAACCATATTCTTGAGGACCATGTCAACCCGTCTTCTGAACACCTCCAGGGATGGTGCCACAACCACTTCCCTGGGCAGCCCATTCCAATGCTGGAGAACCCTTTCCGTGAAGAAATGTTTCCTAATATCCAGTCTAAACCTCCCCTGGTGCAACTTGAGGCCATTTCCTCTTGTCCTATCTCCTGTGGGAGACAAGACCAACCCCCACTTCTCTACACCCCCCTCCAGGTAGTTATAGAGCACGAGAAGGTGTCCCCTCAGCCTCCTCTTCCCCAGACTGAACACCCCCAGCTCCCTCAGCCTCTCCTCACAAGACTTCTTCTCCAGACCCCTCACCAGCTCCGTTGCCCTTCTCTGGACCCGCTCCAGCACCTCAATGTCTTTTTTGTGGTGAGGGGCCCAAAACTGGACACAGCCCTCGAGGTGGGGCCTCACCAGTGCCCAATACAGGGTGACCATCACCTCTCGGGTCCTACTCTCCACGCTGTTCCTGACACAGACCAGGAGACCATTGGCCTTCTTGGCCACCTTCCTGGTGGGCACACTGCTGGCTCCTGTTCAGCCCACAGGCGACCAACACCCCCAATCTCTCATCGAGGAGCTGCAACACGAATGGAGAAGAATCCAAATTAAGACATTTGGGTTGTGTTAATGCATCTATTTAAATACACATTTACATGCCTGCAGAGCACAAAGAGGTGTCCAACTGCAACACCCTCGGCTCCAGAGACAGTAACGAGGGGGTGATCCCTCGGGGTGAGGTGTTTGTTTGCGTTTGCTTTATCTCAATATGCCTTTTCACGTAACCAAGCGATGGATTTGCGGAGAATCCTGACATCCTTAACTCTTCCCGACATCTCTGCTCCGGCGAGGACGGAGCAGGAAGGGAGGGAGCGCAGAACAGGGGGTCGGCTCCTTGAGGTGGGGAGGGGGGGGCCGACTCAGACACTCTGAGGTTAAAGTTGTCCTTCAAACCCCACCAGCCTCTTCGGTACCGGCGCTTCTGTGACCTCCCCAACCCGGGAGAAGCTGGAAAACCGGGTCCCCCTCCCCCTCCACCTCACGGCCTTGGGGGGGGCCCGGGACCGCAGCAGCCCCCCCAGCCGACTCCTGCCGGCGGCCCGGTGCTCGGCGTTCGCCACGCTGCGGTCGGTCTGGAGAAGCACAATCCCAGACGAACTAACATGTCGGAAACCGGGGAAGGAGAT